GCGACATTGTACTTGGCTCCAAGAGACTTTTTTGTAGGTCCTGAGACACTACATTAGTGTGCCAAATTTCGTGATCCTCAGTCAAAGCATGGCTTGGGGCTGATAGTTTTAATGGTCCTAGGGGGCGCTATTTCAGAAAATAGGCCACGCCCACAAACTTCAGCTGTCCAATTCTATTAGGGGTCAGAGTAAGATCACTCATCAGAAATTGTGTGGTGATGTCACAATGATTGAAGAAATGAGACACAAACGTATTTCCATGGCGTGATGGTGAATTTCGCCATGATCCCAAAGCCCCGCCTTTATTCGAAACCTGCCAGTACTATAGACCAAGTGACCTCAACTTGTCTGCTGCTATTTGCCAGTGAATGGTGGTGATTGGTTAAAAGGAGTCCAATAGGGAGCGGTGAAAAAAAAGAGTGGCGTGGCGACAGGTCAAAGTTTGAGGCTTAGCCACGCCCACACCTTTATACTTATTTAAAATCCGTAGGTTGAAATTTTTCCCCTTTGTCTTAAGAGTCTATAGCAGAAGTTTGAAGGTGATTGGTGAAAAGGGCGATGGTGCAACACTCTCCAAACAACGTGTGCGAAAACCACTAAATCGAGTACTTGGACCAAAATGGCCGACTTCCTGTGCGACTTGGTTCTTGGCTCCAAGAGACTTTTTTGTAGGTCCTGAGACACCACATTAGTGTACCAAATTTCGTAATCCTCAGTCAAAGCATGGCTTGGGGCTGACAGTTTTAATGCTCCTAGGGGGCGCTATTTCAGAAAATAGGCCACGCCCACCGGATTTTCACATCACATTTTTTGGGGGGCAGGACTAGGATCACTCCCAAGAAGTTTCGTGGCGATATCTTTAGAAATGACGAAATGGGAGGCAAACGTAAGGCCTAAGTGGTACGCCTGACTTCGCCGTGCCGCCACAGCCCCGCCTTCTGCAGAAAACTCCCATAAAGTGACGCCAAGCAACCCCAACTTGTCTTCAGTTAACTGGTACAAATTTGGGATGATTATTTGAAAGGGCGAATTTTAGAAAATTTCCCAGTAAAACTTGACCTTTTAAGTCCTGAGGGGGCGGGGCTTATGTGACATCATCAATCGACCATTCATTTGTCTTCGGGGGGCGATGACGATTGTCCACAGAAAGTTACTTTAACTGTAATTCTTTCATTTATGAAATTATAGCAATTTGAATTTTTTTGGCGAGTGCTCGAACTTTGAGGCCTGGCCCCGCCCCTTCAGTATTTACGAAAAGTCAATTTTATTTTCTCATTTGAATCGTCCATCGCTTCTGTTCGATTGCACACTATTTTTGAGACGATCGTGCGAAAAATGACCAAACTGTTCAACCAAATATAGACCCTAGAAATGGCCAAAATGGCTAAAATTCGCCATTTCAACCCAAAATGGCCGACTTCCTGTTTGATATTGACCATGGTTGCAAGAGACTTTTCTGTGCGGACTGTGGAGTACTACAAGTATACCAAATTTCATAACCGTACGATAAACTAAGCTTTATGGAGAGGGGTATTTTTCACTTTCTAGGGGGCGCTGTCCAGCCACTTTTTTACGAACTTTCACATCGCCAGTGAAATACGTAAATTTCACGCACTTTCTATATTGAGCCAGAATTTGGTGACTTTTTGAATATGCTAAGACCCCCTAAAGGCCATTCAAAGACGCGGAAGAAAAAAGAAAGAAAGAAAGAAAGAAAGAATAAACGGAGCAGATACAATAGGCCTTCGCAGCTTCACTGCTCGGGCCTAAAAATAATACAGGTAAATATACAAAGGCAGTAGACTATTATTGTAATCATCAGCAATTTGAAAATTGAAAAATATTTGTTTCCAAGAAGAAACCGCATATATAACACAGAACTACAATTGTGCATCCGGGTACTGCACACCTGCTGAATATAGCATTGATGTTAGCGTGTAAAAGGATAATGCCAGTACCAGTTAAGCTGTGGAGTCATACACTCTTACTGCTGTGGGAATGAATGACCTACAGGAGTAGTGTTCTCTTGTAACCAGCTGCTGCTCGTGCAGCGCCATCTTGAAAGAAATTAACAGGGTGGTTATAACGTTTTGGTCAAACTGCATAAACATTTTATAATGAAGTCCTTGTGAGATGGACCAATTCTGGTTTTGAGTGTGATTTACGGCTTTGCAATGGTGAGTTCAGGGACCAAATTATAAAAGTCAGTTTTTTTATATATATATAATTAATTTTTAACATTTTTTTTCCCCAGGTTGCTTTATGTTAGAATGACAAATCATATTTTTGTTTAGAATGTTAATTTGCGGTGTTGATGTGCTTTGGGGCAGGGGGTCTGAGATCTGAGGTTTACTTTAGAGATATTTTTGCTTGGTACAACGTTAACTTTGCTGTCATATTTTGCACAGAGTATCAATGATAGGAAAAAAGGGGATATTAGTGTCCCAAAATGATTTTTATATGAGGGTGAGACCCCACGTATCCCTATGGAATGTTTTTGGGGTTTGAGCACAGGGAGGGTGCTAGTTTAGAAGATGTTCTCTGAAGAGCAGGGTCTTCGGGAGTTTCAACAAAATTGAAAAGGAAGCCGCAGTTCTGGTAGCGCTTGGTAGGTCATTCCACATTTGTGGAACGATGCATGAGAAAAGTCTGGATTGTCCTGATCGTGGTGTAGGCACTGCTAGCCGACGATCCTGTGATGACCGGAGCGGCCGGGCCGAGACGTAAGCCTTTGCAAGAGGATTCAGGTAGATGGGAGCCGTACCATCTCAGACTTTATCTGCTAGTGTTAGCAATTTGAATTTGATGCGTGCTGCTAGCGGTAGCCAGTGGAGCTCAGTGAACAGAGGGGTGACGTGTGCTCTTTTTGGCTGATTGAAGACCAGACGCGCCGCTGCGTTCTGGACCATTTGAAGAGGTCTCACAGTACAGCCTGGAAGACCAGTTAGAAGGGCATTGCTGTAATCGAGGCGGGAGTTGACAGTAGATTGCACCAGGAGCTGGGTGGCATGTTGTGTTAGGTATGGTCTGATCTTTCGTATGTTATACAGCTCAAAGCAGCATGAACGAGCAACAGAGGCCACATGATCTTTAAAGGTCAGGTGTTCATCAATCACAACACCCAGAATTGGAGCAGCTTAGTCGGAATGGGGTCCAGTGGGCATGTAGTAGGGCGACTGCACGTGAGAAGCTTGGACACACAGTTCTCAGTGGCAGGGGCAAAAGAGGAAAATGAAGCAGTAGGGCCTGAGATGGTTGGGCTTGAATGAGTTTGTGGTAGCGAATGTTCAGGAGTGGCCAGTTGAGTAAACTGTTTGCTTATGGCTGCAACTTTGTCAGTGAAGAATGAGGCAAAGGTGTCAGCTGATAAGATTGTTGGTAGGAGGTGGAGATGGAGGGTTGAGCAGAGTTTTGAATGTTGAAAATAGTTTCTGAGAGTCAGTAGAGTGTGGAGCAGAGTGACTCGGTGGCATCATTCACTTCATAAGCGGAGAATGTGCTGGGAGATGGAAGAGTGGAGGCAACAAGAGAGGAGAAGTGGTTGGGTGCCAGGTTGCGGCGGAATGAGACCATTGGGGAGGAAGCAGTGGACTTCCCTTGTAGAGTCAAGCTGAAACGGATGAAGTAATGATCAGAAAGATGCAGCGGTGTGACAGAGATTGTGTCTATGGCACAGTTTCTGGTGAAAATGAGGTTGAGTGCTTTTCCAGCTTTGTGAGTTGGAGGACTTTGTACTAGTTTTAAATCAAATGATGACATTAGTGACAGGAAGCCTGATGAGCTGGGATTGTCCAGGTGAATATTCATGTCTCCAAGGACCATTGTGGGACAGTCGTGCTCAGGAATGGAGGAAAGCAGGGTGTCGAGTTCATCAAGAATGTCTCCCAGTTGACCTGGTTGTCGATATATGACAACCAAAAAGAATTTTTTCGGTACAGTTACCTGGATGGCATGGTATTCAAAGGAGTTGTATTTAGTGATAGGTAGAAACTGACTGTATATCCATTTGTTGGACATTAACTTGCCCGTTCCACCACCTCGGCCAGATGCACGAGAAGTGTGGGAGAAAGTGTGGTTAACTGAGAGAGCAGATGGGGTAGCATTGTCACATGGTTTGATCCAGGTCTCAGTGAGAGCCAGTGCATCGAGTGACAGGTGGTTTGCATATGCGTTAATGAAGTCAGCTTTGTTTACAGCTGATTGGCAGTTCCACAGTCCCATAGACAGGTGGATGTCTTCGGGGGGGAGTTGGTTTTAGCGAGCGGAGGCTTTGAAGGTTGCGAAAGCGGTTTGCTGTGTGTGACCTTCCTCTGAAGCTAGTGATCACAGGTAAAGGATAATGGCACATTTAGCTAGGTGTTGATGGAGCAGCGTCTGGGTCAAGTTTGTTTGCTCTGTGTACCTGCTCTGTGGACACGCACAGGTAGACACGTATGTCTTTACCCCAGAGTGTCTTCACACCGGAGGGACTGAGACACAAGGGCTGACGCTTCCGCTGATGCTTCAGTTATGCCACCAAACTTATGCTATGCTACTAGTTGGAAACAGGTGTTCATGCACCAGCTGATTGCAATGATTGAGACCTAGATCACCTAATGAGTGTTTTCAGGGAGGGGAGAAACAGCTCGTTCACAGCCCCTGATTGCTCTTATTGTTTTCACTTGGCCCAAACAGGAGCTACTAGACAACAGGATTACTCAAGATGAGTTTCCTTCTCTTTTCCCAATGGAAGATAGTGCAAAGCAAAAGTTTAAGAAGACAAAAACCAGCACTAACAGACACTCAAGGCCCTTCGGTGCAGATTCAAGTCAAAAGATACAAGTCTAAAGAGTTAGACTTTTATCAGTAAAAAGATATTGAACATCCATTGTTTACATTATAAGATTAACTGTCGTTGGTTTTAGTTTTCCTGATGTGCAAGGATTAATTAGTTGCTTTTTTTTTACTGAACAACTGATGACATTTCTCATAATCATGAGGTAAACTTTGTGTGCCCTCAGGTACGAGAAGGTTCCTGTGATCCTGGTGGGGAACAAAGTCGACCTAGAGAGTGAGCGGGAGGTATCGTCCGGCGAAGGTCAGGCCCTGGCCGAAGAGTGGGGCTGCCCTTTCATGGAGACCTCGGCCAAGAGCAAAACCATGGTAGACGAACTGTTTGCAGAGATCGTTCGGCAGATGGACTACGCCGCCCAGCCGGACAAAGATGATCCCTGCTGCTCCTCGTGCAATATACAATAGCCCCGGAGTGGGGGCTCCAAGAACAGACATGGCTAGTCTGCAGGGACGATGCTCCTTTGACTTGCAGCGGACAGATGCACACTGAAGACACACACATGCCAGTTAAATTTAGAATAAATTCATGGTTGAATGCAGTGGAAATTAGCTCAGCAGAGCAGAAAAGCTGCAGTGAAATGATAATTAGTAATGACAAGTGAGTAATGCATACATTTTGATTGAGGAAAACCAGGAATTTGCCGCAAGAGAAATAGACAAACGGTACAAAGGAACATGCCCTCACCTTATTTTGAGCTTTTTTTTTTTCAGTGTTCTTTTTTGTTTTTATCACTTCAGTTATAGAGGAGATAAATCTTCAAAGAACAACAAATTTCTATCTCTACTTTCACACTAATGCATTTCTTATTACCACGCCTTTAATGCAGGTAGCCACCTCACATAAATCCAATAAAGAAGTCATTTCAAACGAGTATAGGGGTATTTGTGTCAAATTTTCCTCCTGGTTTAGTTGGTTTTGTAGTAGGTGGAAGGGTTTTCTTCTCATTACTGAACAGAAACAGAAAGGTGACCTGAAAGCACCTCCGTTTTCCGTTACTTTTGCAGTTGATCACAGTGGTAATGAGAAAATAGACAAGTCTGTAACCTCCTCCTAACATCAGTGCAGACACCTCTTCTCTATTTTCTCCCAAAGAGGAATAACAGCAAACCTTTCTCACATGTCCTGTGACTCTGACCACCGATTCATGAGAAATAATATAACGGCTGGTCCATCTTAAAGGATAATTTAACTTTTTTTATTTATTCACTCAACATCATTTCTCCAAACTTTATTTAAGAATGGGGTACATTTAAAGTGAAGATGCCAACATTTGCACCATTATATCTTTCTCCTTTCTAATCAGTATAAATGTTTTCAGAGTGTTCAGATGAGTAGTTGTAATAAGGCAGTGGATAATGGTGAAAATGGTAGTGTAAATAACCTGTAATGAAAGTGCCAGCTCATCTGAAGACACCGACTCGACACGTGGGACTCTACGCATGACTAGAAAAACAACAAAGGACTCATATTGTATGAGATGAAAATAGGCTATGGAATAAAACACATCTGGATCCGGAACGCTGTTTTAAACAGCACATCCATGTTGCCACGGGAACCAGACTTTTCCCCCCGTGTGACCATTTTCATTGTTGGTTTTCTATTTTTTTATGTGACCATTTACTCCTAATCCCTCTATGATTGGTGACACTGTTAACATTTGACACCTCTACAATAAAAGTGCATTCAGCACTTGGAACAACTGGATTTTTGTGTTTTGTGGACATTTTGCTCCATTTCAGATTTTGTTGACTTGTACTGTGCAGGTTATGTGAATGCTCCCTTGCGCACTCAAGGTAAAACCGCCTTCCTTTGGCATGGGCATGAAAATCAGCAGGGAAATAGTCGTGAGTTGGAAGGTGTTGACTTTGGTGGCCGGAAGATCTCTCCGCATCCCAATCCGCACCTATGGTCATGAGCATTGGGAACTGACTAAGAGAACGAGATCACTGATCATGTTGAATCTTCTCCAGCAAGCAGACCCTCGTTCCCCAGTTCTTCAGCCAATAAATTTCAATAACAAATATGATTTAGTAGCTTCGGCTGACTTGATTTTTTTTTTTTAGCAAAAGCAGAGAAATGGTACAGGGACTCTGGCCTGGACCCTTGAAAACCACCCTAGTGGTAATAGATCAAAAGGCCCCTTAAACTTCTGCGTACATTAGCTATCATATTCTAGGCTCCTCCCATTCAGTGGAGAGAGCACTCCTATCAATTGGCTCATTTACACTATAGGGAGCCTAAAGCCGGGTGTACACTGTGCGACTTTTTCACTTTTTTGAGCCGATATTCCACTCGTGCGACAATCCACAAGATGGGGGTGAGTTCTGCGCTGAGCGTCGTGTAGTGTACAGGAGGTTACGAGAGGCGATTAACACCACGTGACCAGCTACCGATCAGCAATCGTGAGCTCGCACGGACTTCTGGCGTGTTTGATATTTTGCTCGTCCCTTGTGAGGGTATCGCACTGTTGAAGCGGCGCTGCGAGCAGCTGCGACCCAAAAAGTATCAGAACCGCTCACGGCGCATGCGCAATCCTGCATCAACACCGCTCGCCCGCTATTTCCCTAATAACACACGTTGTTCTTTTTATTTCTACACGTTTTTTTACTCACAAAGATTGTGAAGAAAGCGTGTTTGTCGTGTTCACGTCAAATTAAACTGATCACAAAACACAAATTTACTTTCTTTATTTCGTTTTCCTCATCCAGCCCCCATAAATCCCTGTGTGTCCTCCTGCAGCACTCCTGAAGGACAACAGGCAAAACAAGACAAAAAAGTCAGAATTTCTAATTCTGCATGTTATGTGCCATGGATTTCACATATGATGTCCGTGAATTTTAAAGACACATTTTGATACCAAGAACACGCTTATTTTCGAACGGGGGAAACGTAATTTTAATTTTTGTGTGAAAATAAGTCCAGAACTATAAATGTGCATCACGAAAGTGACGTCATCGAACCAGACATGCAGAAAACAGAGGGAAAAGGGCTGTAAGTTTAATGAACTTTACATCCTTCCTTCAGGAAGAAAAAAACCACAATAAATCTGACCATGTGATAAGTAGCAGCTACGCTAGAGAAGAAATTCTGTTGTGACGTCCTATATGCAACGTGCGGATGTCCGATTTGTAGTCAAGCTAATTACGAACTTTTACAAGCTGATCAGTCTCAAAGTACATGACTGGCGTGGGTGAAACACCCTTCATTAATTTTTTTTAATAGAAGTGTAACGCGTGATCCAGAGCGTAAGGCAAAGCGGATTAGAAAATAGCTCTTTTAGCCCCGTCGACTTGCATTCCTTTTTTCGTTCTTCCAGGGACCCATGAGCCGACCGGAAAGGGAGGAGACTTAGGCTCCCTGTGGTCAGGGCATCTTAGGCCGGGCGGGGACAGCACACCCTCGCTCGGTCAGGTGGTTTACACAGCCTTCTCGGGAATGCAAACATGGGCGAGGACGTGGGCGGGCTCTGCTAAAGTAGTGTGGAGAAGTCTGTGGTGTTGCTCCTGAGTGCCACAACTTAGTAAATAAAAGCGAGCGAGCGCATTGTTGCTTGAGACTCTGACATGAAGCACACAGCTTCCTACTTTTCTCACTGAGCAGCAATGCTCTCATATCTAAGAGAGCTCACAGCAGATGGTCAGTCCTCAGGCTGCCACAGCTGGAGCGACCGGTCCGGGCTGCAGTCAGACAAGACGTTTACCCTGCTGTGTCTAGTCTACTAACTCATCACATGAGCCTCCGCTAGCTGATTCTTCCTGTGCCAGTCAAAGGCTCCCACTTGGTGTGTGTTTTAATTGTGTAATCAACAGAAATTTTTGTGAGCTTATTATGTTTTAAACACTGAGATGTTTATTTAAAAGTTTAATTTGGTCAAAAATTAAATTCTAAATAAATAACAGCAACAGGAAACTTCCTGAAGAAACTTGACTGCAGGACATTTTACTTTTAGCCAAGTCGCCTCACAGGTTCCCGGTTTTCTGGAGCCTCTCTACGTGATGTTTGTATTTTTGTCCCTGCAGACTCCACCCACAGTCCAAAAGTTTGTCTCTGTGGTGAACCACTGACCTGTCCAAAATGTGTTTCACTGGCTGTCTTCTGAAGATGGACACCATCAAATTTGTTTTTTCGACAGTTTAAATGCAGCATGATTAATTGATGAGCAGAGAGTAATATAATGGTTGCCGAGTCCAGGCCTCCTTCACTGCCTGGGTTTGGCGGTCTGTGTCTATAAATAGCGTCCAGCACATCGTACCACTTCCATGTACTTCACCCATTCCCACTATGGCCATTGCTGTCTGTAACTTTTCTGTAGTGGGCTTTTATTTTTTTCAGCTTCGCACGACACTGTTCGGACGTGCACTGAGAAGCTGCCATGCGCTGAGAAACTTCTTTAAAGACTTTCTCATTTCTTATCATCCCATCCAGCTCGGCCTGAATGTTGCTATCTCCGATGATGGTGAGGAACGTTTGAAGCTCCACATTGGACCAGAAGCTATTACTTGCAGGCATTTTCGCACAAGGAGTACAGTCAAACACAAACACTGGAACTCTGGGATTGTCGCGGGTAGTTACGTAGTCTCTCCCCCAATCAGAGGGCTAGACCTTTTACGCTGTGGCTCCGCCCAGACCAAAAATCTCTGGACCCACAACAGAAGGGGTCCGGCTCTGGCCCGCTACTGGCCCGGTCTGGGTAGGTTTTCTGCACTGATTTAACAATCGAAACAAAATATTTAGCGACCCGATCCTTCCCGTTCCATGCCAGTTTGGGCGGTGGAAAAGACCTATAATAAGACAGGGAGGCTAGATAACTCTGAGCTGGCGGCAGGACAAACCTTCCTCCTGCAAATCCAAATAGCTCAGCAGGTGGCCCCAAACCAAGTACCAGGCTGTGATTTCCCACTTTTTCCTCAGTTTTGACACACAAACACGTTTCTGAGCAAATTCTGTTTCTTAGCATGTTATTTTGGATCCAGATCACTGGATCATAAACAGAATCCTCCGTCTCCCAGGTGATGAAGCACAAAAGTTATGTTTACAGCAAATGCATGTTTATGTTAAGTTGTAGTTGTTGTTTTTTTCTTGCAGGGGTCAGAAGATCGTTTTTATGTCACATGCATTTCTTTAAAAATACAGTTTTTGATCAAATCAAAGTCTAGTTTGAAATGAAAACAAGACAAACACAAAAGTCTGGCATTATTCAAGCTATGCAGGTTCTGCAGCTGCCTCCTTCACGTTGGTTGATAAAGGTTTAACAACTTTGTTCTCACATTCACAGTCCCAAGATCTCATTTTGAGAGAAAAAACAAGTTACGGATGTTTAAATGACTTGATTTTGCTTCTGAACCAAAGAGCTGGGAGAAGACAAAAGTCCCTGATGTTCCCTTGGACCTGATGGTGATGGGTCTCTCTGGGGTTCATTAGGAACAACAGAAGCTCTCACTCACTCTGCTGCAGGATCATTTGCACTGGTGGTTACATATAGTCACATAAAATAGAAAATCCCTGCTGACTAGTGGAAGAGGTTTAATGAGAATAGATTACAGAGTGCTTCACAGGGTTTGGCCTAACAACGAAAATAAAATTCTGACACTTCTCAGACAAGTTGTTGCAAAAGTGCCTCTGAAGAGAATGAAAGGCAGTACCATGAGATGATGGATTCGCAGCAGGATGCAGAATGAGAGGTAAAAATAAAAATTCAGCTTTAAAACAACCCCGAGCCTCACAAGAGAGGGAGTGTGAATTGAACCGGCGCTGACTCACTGTTACCTGTTCTCTATGAACGCCAGGAGCTCCGTGGCTCAGACACGGGCAGCTGCTGCGTGTTTATTCCACCCGAGATCCTCCGCATCAACATGTCAAATGTCGAGATGAAAGAGAAGATCTGCATGAGTCACTGTCTCCATCTTACCCACCCCGTCACCTCTCCTGTCTGCAGCTTTCCCCCACTGGGATTTCTGTGTGGGATAACAGCAGCTACAGACCGTGACATAAAAAAAAGGAAAAATGTCATGTCTGTCGCTTTTTTGACTCCGGGGCACACAAGTTCAAGAGGCTGTTATTCTAGGGGGCTGAGGAACACCCTGCCAGCACAGCACTTTCAGGGATAAAGGAGATCCCAAAGCACAGAGCAAACAAAAGGGTCTTTAAATTGCTTTAATCCCCTCATTGATCACTGGAGCATTAAAGTCTCTATGTGCTACAGACGGGGGAAATTAGACTTTTGGGCCATACAGCTCTGAGAAAATCAATAGGAAATGATGTAGAGTAAATATATATCTATTAAAATAAAAAAAGTTTATTTACAGTTCATTGATGCCTCATGTTGTCATTATGGTTGGATCTTGTTCTTTCAGCCCTCCTCTGATGGCTTTTTATACTAAAACACAGAGTTTATGGGCAGAAACAGGATGAAGGAACAAACAAGCAGAGGGTTTAGGCTTGAAGTCATAATTACACACAGGTTCTCTGCAGCCAGCAGCTCTCCTGATGAAACTAACAGCTGATTAGTGCTTCCACTCGTGTCCAGCATTTATACTGGTGGTTTCCAAAGTTGGGGTTGGGACCCTGGGGCAGTTCTAAGGCGGGTCCAGGGTGGGCCAGTGCTTGGACTGCCCCTATTGGCCCCCTACTGAGGGCGGAGCCTAAGCGTTGACAGATTTTTTGTTAGATTTAGTGAAATGCGAGATCTGGATCTGAAGCAT